CTCCGCTACTCGGCCCTGCCGCCCCCCAACGCCTCCGGCCCGGCCCGCGCCGCCTTCGCCGCCGGGAAGTTCGGGATTATGTGAGCGCAGCACGCGGGACAGCCCCGGCCTCGCGTTGGGCGCCCGGGTGTTGGTGGAATTCCTCCTCCAAGACGTGGTTGCAGAGGAAAACCGCGTGGATGTGCTGTTGGGTCTTGAGGAGGTTATTGTGAGTTATCTAAAGGGTTGTCTTGGTCTGCGGCCTGGGTAGAGGTACACACACACTGGCATCCTCCCTGTCTGTGTCTTCTTCTCTTCCCACCCAGGGCTGCTGCTTTATTTTCTATGATATATTACATATTACATGTTTATAGTTTTCCCCCAATACCCACTACATGTATTAGAAAGTGCTTTTCTACTCTAAACCAATCCATAAGTGCCAACATCACCAAGAACATGGAGGCGAGGAAGAAGGAGGAGGAAGAACAGGGTCATCCCACTTTCCTCCATCTTAGAACTTCTGACCCCCACGTACAAAGTAAAATCCCCCCTGGACAGGTGCTAAACCCCCCTGTACAACACTAAAATTTCCCCTCTACTTTGTAACTACTTTTACTATCCCATCTAACCCTTTGTGACTGCTTGTTCCACCTCCAAAGTTGGTAACTCATCCCATGGCTCAAACCCAAAATCACAGCTGTTTCCAGCTGTGCCAGGGCCTCAAATGCTTTGACCAAGGCCTGGAACCTCCAAAAATGTCTGAGGGACATTTGGAGTTCCCACACGCACACAACATGGTTCAGGCTGAACTCAATCCAGAATTTTTGCAGATTTTTGTTTTGTCTCTTTTTTGGTTTTTTTTTTTTTTTCATTTCTCCGTCTGTGTTTTTGGTTGTGCACTGTTTCGGTAAGAAATACACTAGGGAATAAATTATGAAATATACTTACAAGGGTTATTTTTAGAATACGAGTGTAAAATTAATTGCTAACAAATATTTAAAATTATTTCTTTCTATGTTAACTGCTCCTTCTCTTCATTTCTTGCACCACTTGAACCAACTTTTTGTGTGACTGTCACGATCGTTTTTAAATTTACTCTCTCTTTATTTCCCTGGATTTCCACATATTTATTTTTTTAGACCGTTGCTTTATTTCCACTATTCTCTACGCATTATTATTATTTTTTGTTTTTAATTAACTGATTTTCTTGAACTGGAAAGGCCTTCAGTGTAAGCTCATTTTTACACAAAAATCCATCTTGTGGATGGCCTGGCAGGCACCAGGTGAAGAAAATTGGGAAGAGCACAGGATCAGCTGGATCCACACTTTGATTTTCTTGGCAGATCCATGGGTTGTGTCAGGGTTTCCTCATCCAGAGCATGAAGTCCTTTCAAAAGAATGAAAGGAATGACTTGGTAAAGAGAATAAAAGTGGTGAGAGGAAGCAGCAGGAGGAACTTCTCACCGAGCACGGTCAGAAGACACCACCGAGGTGCTGGACCTTGTTTACACGGGTTTAAGACTGTTCTAGTTGAAATTGCTGAATTTAAATAATTTAAAATTATTCTAGTTGAAATTACTGGATTTAAAATCCTTTAAAACTGTTCTAGCTGAAATTGCTGAATTTAAAATCCTTTATGACTCTTCTAGTTGAAATTGCTGAATTTAAAATCCATTAAGACTGTTCTAGTTGAAATTGCTGAATTTAAATCCTTTATGACTGTTGCAAGTTGAAATTGCTGAATTTAAGTCATTTAAGACTATTCTATTTGAAATTGCTGAATTTAAATCCTTTACGACTGTTCAAGCTGAAATTGCTGAATTTAAAATCCTTTATGACTATTCAAGTTGAAATTGCTGAATTTAAAATCCTTTATGACTATTCAAGTTGAAATTGCTGAATTTAAATCCTTTAAAACTGTTCAAGCTGAAATTGCTGAATTTAAAATCCTTTATGACTGTTCTAATTGAAATTGATGAATTTAAATCCTTCTCCAAATGTTTTTACCTGAAGCAGCATTAAAGCTACCTCTGGTCTTATCCCACCAAGTTTGCAGTGAGTTATTTTTGTTTCTTGCAACCATTATTAATTTAAAGGAGTAAATGGGTTTTGTTTCTGAGAGTTTTCTTGACTCCAGCTCTGCTGAAATCTAATGCCCACTATGAATTTTCCTGTGAATTCCATTTTGTTTGGAGCATTTGTATTCCTCATCCCCTGAATTCATCAGGAATGGTTTTGTGCTGGAATCCGAAATGCAGGGAATTCTCAGAATTGTAAGGCAAAGGTTAGAATTAAACCCAGGATTTGAGCTCAGACCTTGGAAAAGGCTTCCAAACTTAAGTGCTAGGAGTGAGAATGTAGATTTATGGTTTAATGCAGAGATGTATTAAGTTAGGAAAGGCAAAGTTTAGAGGTTTAGAGTTTAAGATACAGAAAAAATAAAAGTAGTTCCAGAGGTAACAAGGAGTTCAGAAAGCAGCACTGTAGGTTTGTGTGTCACAGCATGATTGGCTAACAAAGCTGACACACAAGTCCGTAAGACAAAATATTTAATTCAAAACTATAAATATCCTCATTGGCAGTGTTTTATTGGGCAATAAATTTTTAAAAGATCTTATAACTAAAGGTCTTGTGACTTTCTGAGCCGTGCAGTGAAGATGTGAGCCCAACTCACCTTTCCTGCCTGTTGAAAATATAAAAAAATAAATCACACCATCTAAAAAACTCAGAGGTTCTGTCTCCAACTTATTCGAAATTCCATCAAAAATCCCCAGTTTTGTACAAGGATGATCTTAAGATCTAATCAGCCCCGTTTTTGCTTTATTTCTTCCGATTCTCGACGGTTTAAATTTATTTCATTTCTGAGCTCTTATTGTCATCTCGCTGGGAATATAATCCTGTTTCCTGGCTGTACTGGAGAACAACATTGCTCCTCTCCTGGTTATTTCCGACACTTCACTCGTGCTCCATGAAACGAGTTTCACATCCCCACATTCCTGGGATTGTAAGTGTATTTAAAATGTGCTTTTTAATCCTGCCACCTTGTGTTCACAGCGCCTGTTGTACCACAGCATTCCCATTTCCCAGCACCAGGGCTTGTCCATAGGGAAGAGAATAAGGAAAAACATGGGGAGAATGTTAACATTTTTATTTATGACCTCGGGGTGGGGTTTTTGTTGTTGTTTTCTTTAACTGGGAAGCGACAGGTCTTGGATGGATAGGGATGAGAACCAGGGAACACCTGGAATCCCCACGGGATATTTTTTGGGGAAGAAACCCAGGACAGCCATTCCTAATGGTTATCTCTGCTGGCACAGGGAAACACAGATCCCTGCAGGGCTTTCCAACCCTTTGGGTTCGCTGCCAGGGCCGGGAATTTCCTATTTCACCACAGAGGGGCTCAAGGGATTCCGGCTACGGAGCTGGAGTTCATTTCCAGTCATTAATTAGGGATTTGACCTGACCTGAGCTGACCTACAGCTCCGACCTCGTCACGAGGAGCGGCCGGAGCTGCGCCAGGACACGTTCGGGTCGGAAATTAGGGAAATTAGGAAATTAGTTTTTCCAGCAGAGCGTGCTCTGGCACTGACCAGGCTCTCCGCGGAAAACGCTCGCGGCCCCGAGGCCGCCAGAGCTCTCAGGGGTGCTCGGGGTGGGACGCTCGGGCAGGGTAAGGCGGCGGACATGGATTTTTCTCCCTTTTTCCGCCGTTATTCTCCGATCCCGGGATGCGCGGCAGGCCCGCTCCCACCGAGCGCCCTCAGCGCCGGCCGGCCCCGCCCCCCCGCGCGCCCCGCCCTTCCCGCCGCGCCTCCGCCAATCAGCGGCGAGGGGCGGGCGCGCGGGAACCCCCCGGGCCGCGCTGCCATTGGCCGGAGGCCGCGCGCGCCGCCCGCGCGCGCCGCCGCCATCTTAGCGCGGGAGGCGCGCGGCGCTGAGTGAGGGGCGGCCGCGCTGGGGGGAGGAGGAGGAGGAGGAGGAGGCGGCGTCGCCATCGCCATGAGCGCTCCCGGCCCCCATCCCGATCCCCAGCCCGACCCCGCCGCCGGCTCCAGCCTCGGCCCGCTGCTCCACACCCTGCAGGACCCCGCCGCGCCGCCGGGAGAGCTGACGGACGCGCACCTCACCGTCGTCAGGTGGGCGCGGGGGGACGCGCACGCTGCCGGAGGAGGGAGCGGGCGGCCTGAGGGCTCGGGCCGGGCTGGGGAGCGAGGGAGGCGGGAGGGCGATGGCAGCGGGGACGTGCTGCCCTGGCTGGGAGCAGGGAGGCGGGAGGGCGATGGCAGCGGGGGTGTGCTGCCCTGGGAGCAGGGAGGCAGGGCTGCGGCCGGCGTGGCCGCGGGGAGACATGCGGGGCTGGGGGGAGGGACGGGAGGAAGGGAGGAGCGAGGGGAGGAAGAGGAGGGAGGAAGGAGCGCATCCCCGCAGGCTCTGCGCATCCCAGAGCCTCCCTGTCCCCTTGGCTTCCTGGGGCATCCTCAGAGGTGTGCGAATAAATAATAACTTAACAACAATTTTCTTGTCATGTCAAAGCCCTGCGGATTTAGGATTGGAAGGGTGAAGTTTTTAGTTGGCGATTCTCGGGTTTTGCCTTGTTTTCGTTGCATTTCTTTCTGGAAGATGCTTCTTCCCCAGGAGGGTGTGCCTTTCCCTGCATCTTTCCGATATTATCACGTGCAAAGGCACGATCTCTCTCTCTCAGTGTCTCCCTTCGGCTCTGCAGTGAATTTAACACTGTGGTACTCACATACCAGATTTTACAGGTTTTTTAGAAATAACTGACAGCAAAAAAAACCCCTCCTGATGTAAGTATTCAGCACAGGTTCCTCAGGTTGTCCCTGGACTCAGCACGGTTTGGGTTTTGCTGTGAGAAGCTGATGATTAACATTTTATGGGATAATTGCAGCTTTCCGCAAGGAAGGTCCCCAACGAAGGCCAAAAACAACCCTGCCGCTTCCCAAAACAAGAATTTCCCGCAATCCGAACCGCCCCCGAAGAAAAGGCCTTTTCAACCACCCGTTTTCCAAATTGCAACAAACCAATTAAAAGTTGCAGGCCAAAATGGAAAGGTTTTAAAAGAACCGAACAAAAAAAGAAAACCCGTAAAGGTTTTCTGAGTGTTCCTGGGGCAGAAAAGGAGTCATTGCTCACTTTGTACTATAACACAGGATTTTGCTGCTGGGTCAGACCCTGTGCTGGCACTTTTGCTTTGATTTGTCGATTTCCTTCAGGAAAATACGCTGCTCTGTGTCAGAAGTTGAAAGTTAAGTCAGGTACAATATCTTGAATCTGTAAATATTGTTTGTTTTCCCTCCTGCTCCTTGCAGTCGCTTGAGTGGTGAAGGAGGCAAAGCATTCACTGCAGATTTCAGAAAACACTTCCCTCAACTCTGCAAAGTGTTCAAGGTATGGTTATTCCATTCAGTTCTCCTACACTTCAGGGAACAAAGATATTTCGGTGGGCAGGGTCAGTGGGCATAGAAAGACTCAAATTTCAGCTCGTTTATAGAGTCACAGAATCATTAAGGTTGGGAAAAAACCTCTGAGTCATGAATCCAGACTTTAATAGGAATGCAGGGTAGTGGTAGAGCAGGAAAGGTGTTTTTTTGACAAAACAGATCTTGTAATGAGGAATTACTGCAGAAAAAGCCAAAATGCTGGGTGTTGGATGTGTTCAGGCAGCATACCACAGTCAAATCTAATCTTCCAGCCAGGAGAGATAGTGTGGCTGCCTTAGAAACCATTCAGAATTCAGAATATGCAGAAAATGTCAAGGATTTTTAAGGAGTAATGGAAAGGTTGTTCTGAGCCGTTTTTTCCTTCTGTTTTAGAGGCCTAAAAACAATTGGAGAGTCAAGTGAGAGAACATAACATACACAACCAAAGTGAAAAACTTGGGATGTTTGGGATTTATTTCATTAAAGATGCTTTTATTACAGAGAGCAAAAATGCCTTCAGCACCTCAGATTGTTTTATTGATTTGCTGTGAACAGAATTCAGGGAGGGTTTCCTGCCTGGGTGGAATTTTCACCAGATGTTTGCTTTTTCCAGCTTGCCAGCAGTGTTGATATTCAGACAGTAAACTCAATATTTCCCAGCTACTTTTCTAACCTGACATTCTGTGGATTTGGGCTTTTTTTTCCCCCCTAGGCACACATTTCCAGTCCAAACTTGGAGCTCAGTAATGCAGCATTGCAGGCCTTGGGCTTCTGCACTTTTCATTCAAACAACACAGCTGAATTATCTGGTAAGCAATCAAACTGTGACTAAATATATACATCAGGGCTCTTTAGGTTTTAATTTTGGCCAGGTTTTGTCTGTAATATGAGCAGTGTCATCAGTTCATTAATTACATCTTATACACAAGTGTATGGTGATGATTTTTCATGCTGTTACACTAATTCTATTTTACTAACTTTAGTTTCATTAAATGCTTTGGTAGCAATTAGTAATTAGTTGTGTGGAATTAGTGTTCAAAAAAAGATATTCTGGTGGGAAAAGAGTGAAGAACCTGTTTGTAGGCTTTAGGGGTGCACAGTAGAGCTTTTCAACATTTTCCTGCTTTTTCTTGGAGATTTCTTTGTTCCATCAAACCATGGAGTGCTTTGAGTTGGAAGAGACCATTAAAGGTCATCTAGTCCAGCCAAGACTATTGCTAATTAATCCAAAATTTTATGACCTGCATTCCTAAAAAGTGCTAAATCCCTTTCACAAAAGGTTTTGGTTTTGAGAACTTGAGGCTTTGCCTCAAGGTAAGACCCCAGGTTTTTGAAATCAGGGGAGAGGGCATTTTTCCTGCTTGAAATTGGTTCTTTTGGTTCTTCTGTATTTCTTCAGTGTCTTCTGCTTTCCTCTTGTGCAAAATTTCCCCAAATTTCCTGTGAGAAAAGGCATTTCTCATAATATCTGTGTGGTATCTTTCTTTCCTCTCATTCATAACTCCTTTTTTCTAACCAGTTGATAAATGACAATTTTATTACAGAATGTCAGGCTCCAGAAATCACAAAGCCCTGAAAACAATGGGGAGTTGAAAAGAGAGGGAGGACAAGCAGCTCCTGTACCTTTGGGTGTACTTTTGACTGGGGAGAGGAGTGAAAATGTCCTTCCATTTCTCTGATTGTGAGATCGTTCACCCACAAAGTGCAGATTTGCAATAAATCAGACTTTTTACCCTTGAATTTTAAAGGAACACATGATTGCTCCATGTGTGTTCTTAATTGGATCCAAGTCTTATATTAACCTTATTAATTTTTATGTAATGAGCTACAATTTTACCACCTTTAATAACAAAAACCTCTTGTAGGCTCTAAAATAAATTTATTTATATCAAAGTGCTGCTAAATTCACTTAAAATCCAAGAAGTTTTGAATAATTAAATAATTAATCTTTAGCTCAGGTGTATTTAACTAAAGCTGTCCTGTAATTTTATGGATTCTTACAAAGGTAATACAGATGCCCTGCATTATTAGTATTTGTATATTAACACATTTTTTAGTTTTTTGGCTACTTCAGTAAGAGAGAAACTTTTCCAAAGTGTTGTTTAAGGCACTAAATTATTGTGACTTGCATCTGAATGGGCTCTGGACAAAGTTAAGTGAGCAGAATGACCTGGGATGTGGTGAGGAGGATTTTGTGTGCTCTGCTTTCAGGCTCTGAAATGCAGGACTTGCTGGCAGCAGTGAACAGCGTGGCTGTGAAATCCTCAGACAAGAACACTCGCACTCGGGCACTTTGGGTCATCTCCAAGCAGGCATTTCCTCCAGAAATTGTCAAAAAGGAGGTGAGTCCCTTCACTGTCCCTTTGCTGGCCTCATTTCTCACATTTCTCATTTCAGAAATTGTTATAAACAAAGGTGAGTTTGCATTTCTCATTTGGGTGCTGTCCTTTCCTAGGGAGAGGAGGCAAATCCTTCGTCACTCTCCACTCAGTAGCTTTTGAATCCAAAGGTTATTTCCCATCAGATCTGATCTAAATCTTAATTTCATCTCCTGTGCATTGACAGCAACTTCTTGATGCCAGTGGTTTTAATGGAGGGATAAAAAAAAGGAAATACAAAATACAAATATATAAGTTTTAAATATAGGACCACTGCAGAGTATTAGTTCATGAAAAACCTGAGCCAGAAATTATTGCGCTTTTGAGGGGAAAGTTGCAATGGGAGCAGTTCTATCAGAGGAAACAGAGTAAAAATCCAACAAAGTAAAAATACATTTAGATTTCAGTAAAATGTGCCATTTTAAATTAATAATCTCTTGCTAACATAAGTAAAATATGCTGTTTAGTCTAGCAGTTCTACTGTGCTTATAAAACTACCTCAACCAAAGAAAAAAATACAGATCTCCAAATTAAAGAAATAAGAGATGCCCCTTTCCAAGCTAAAAAGATAAAAAAAGCCCCTTGAACTCTAAAACAGAAACAAGCCAAAGCTCAGTCTACAAAAAATAAAAATAAAAAAAAAATAGAAATTTCTCTGTACAAAGACTAATTACATGTTGTAACACAAAATCAACAGAATAAATATACATAAACCTATTGTAAACTCTATGCATATCAGAACTAGTAAAAAAGAATGAAAAAAGATAAGAAGTTCTCAAAAGCACACATGTCCTTTGAAAGAGAATGATCTCCACGTGTCCAACACTAATAAGCATACCATCTCTGCAACTCCTTTGTAAAGTTTTCATTCTACCATTCAAAATTTATTTGTAAAGTTCTCATTTTTCATTCACATTTCACAGAAAGCAACAAAATATCACAGGGGAGAAAAGTTAGGAATATTCCAGTTTAAAAGGAGACCTGGTGTGATCCAAACCCAATCCTGGAGAATGAAATGCCACAATTCCAGCTCCTCCTGGAATGATTTGTATCCAGGTGCTCACTGTGCTGTTCTGTTCTTTGCTCAGGTATCCAATATTCTCTCCACCCTGGAAACAATCCTGACTAAAGGAGAAGTGCAGTCAGTTGTGGTTGAATATGAAGCACTGAATGTCATTATCCGGTGAGTGCTCTGCAATATTCCATTGCCATCCTTCATTTAGGGGGAGAAACTCCGCATACAAAACCCAAGTGGCCCTAAATTGCTAAAGAAAAAACCTCTAAAGCTCCTTGAGTTGTTTCTTCTGTTAGGGATCCTTTTCCTCCAGTGTTGCCCTGGTTTTGACTGGGCTGGAGGTGGTTGCTGAGAGCTGTGGGTGGGATTTGGGGTGGGAATGGTGTTGATAACACCAGGGGTGTTTTAATTATTGCTGAGCAATAATTTAATTATTGCTCTGAGTCAAGGACATGGGGACACAGCTGATCCCAGCTGACCAGGGGATATTCCATGGAATTATGCCCAGGGCTGAGCTGGGGAGCTGCTGGGTTGTGCACCACTTGTTTTGTGTATTAGAATTAATTAAAATATTACCTTAATAATCATGTCATCATTCTGATGCAGAATTTAGTCAATATTGCTTTCATTTTTAATGACTCTCCAGGAATTATTTCCAACTTCTCACCTGTGCTTCCTAAGTCATGTTCTTACATTTTGTTTCCAGAACCTGCCTGCTTGAGAAATTCTCTGCTGTTATTTGGGGGTTTATTTAAAAATATCTTATTTAGAAATATCCCCTTGGCAACACATTTTAGTGCAATGTTTCCCATAACACTGTTGGAATTCCTGTCTAATTCCAAAAGTGACTTTTTAGGACCATCACTGTGAGCACATTGTTCTGGTCAGCAGAACTGAAGTAGTCACATTTTATCTTTACTTAGTGCTAATTTAATTTCTGTTATAGTAAATACATTGAGCTTTTATTTTTATTCCTTTTTAAGTTTTCTCTTAAACTTTTGAGCTGCAAATCCATTTCAAACAGTTCTTGTCCTCTGACTTTAATAAAATGACTTGAAAGGCAGAACTTTAGTGCAGCAATTCTCCATAAACTGTAGGGATGGGGATTTGACTTTCCTGAGGAAAAGGGGGACTTGACAAAATTCCAGGATTTCTAGATTCATGCTAGTTTGAATACATGCCAGATATTCCCATTTCTGCATGTTTTTTGGTGCGGGTGGGATGGTGGAAATGTGTGGAATTTTGTCATGCTGTGCTCTAACAGTTTGGGCCTAGGAGAATAAACTCAGAGCTCTGACCAGGCCAGTGTTCATGGAGCCTGTCCAAACCCGGCTTGGGATTTTTCCAGAAGCTGCTGGGAGTTCTTCCCAGCTGTGTGGGAGTGCCTGGGCTCCTGGGAACTCCCAGGGATGGTTCATGGCCAAACTTCCCTTGGGCACTGTGCATTCCTGTCAGGCTCTCAGCTCCTGTGCCCAAATTGCTGTGCTAAAAAAGAAAGCACAGCTCTCAAGTCAGGCTGTTGTGTTTTGGAGAAGTTTATCTGAAATAACACTTGAACTTTGCACTTCTAATACGATCAATTTTAAAAATTTGGGATGGTTTTCTATAAATCCTGGATTGAATTAGAGCATTTATTGGTGATACAAAGATAACTTGAGCTGCTTTTGGTGATCTGTAATCCCTGTTTTTTTGGCGTTTTGGTTTTTTTTTTTTTTGTGGATCCAGCTTAATGGAGCAAGCTCCAGCCCAGATGGGAGAAGAGGCTGTGAGGTGGGCAAAGCTGATCATCCCTCTGGTTGTCCACTCAGCTCACAAAGTGCAGTTAAGAGGTGCCACTGCCCTGGAGATGGGGATGCCACTGCTCCTGCAGAAGCAGCAGGAGGTGGCAGCTGTCACCGAGCACCTGATGACCACAGTGAGTGACAGTGCTGGGCCTCTGCTCAGCAGCAGCTGTTGGGGAGCATTCATTTCATTTCCTGTGCATTGACAGCAACTTCTTGGTGCCAGTGGTTTCAGTGGGGGGAAAAAAAAAGGAAATGTAAACACAGGACCACTGCCAAAAAGTACCCAGCAACTAAGTGGATGGGAGGCAGAATTTGGAGGCCTGAGGGAGGCAGGAAAGCAGAGGATGCTCAGCATTTTCCACGCCCTTTCAGAGTCCCCATCCTGGGCAGCAGCAGCCCCTGGGTGTCTTTGATGAAGATTTTCATGTTCCCCTTCACTTCCAGGACTGGCTTTACTTGGCTCATTTATTTTGCTTTATTTTGCTGAAAAATCCACCCAAACAAGCTGGGTCAGGGCGTGTTTTGGTTTTGGAGTTGGAGGAAATGCAACTATTTGAAGACACTGATTTTGCTTTGTTGGTTGCCACTGTCAGAATAAGAGCCACAAATTTCAGCTAAAAAGAGAATCAGGTGGTAGCAAATGCCGTGTGGTACAGAGTGAAATCCTTCTGATGTAGAAACATCAGAAATGCTGTTCCACTTCCTCATGGCACCACAAGTTGTGGATTTTGCTAAGGAAAACACACTCGTGCTTTGTTTAGGTATATGAATTTAAATATATATATATATATATATATATATAACTGTAAAAATATATTTGCATAATCTCAGCTCTGGTCTTTTGGTTGTGTCCCCAGACATTGGTATGAGCGTGTAATTTTTACAATATTTAAAATCCCATTTCTTGTAGAAATCCTGTTTCTTTCTGTCTGCAGAAATTAATTTCCGAACTTCAGAAACTCTTTTCTTCCAAAAACGAGACCTTCGTGTTAAAACTGTGGCCCCTGTTTGTCAGATTGCTTGGAAAGGTAAGCAGAAAATGAGTAAAACTTTAGAAAAAGGAGCTTTGAGCAGCAGAAATCTGTTTAATTGTGAATTTCTTGCTGCCCAGACTCTGCATCGCAGTGGCAGCTTCATCAACTCCCTGCTGCAGCTGGAGGAGCTGGGCTTCCGCAGCGGCTCCCCTGTGGTGAAGAAAATTGCCTTCATTGCTTGGAAAAGCCTCATAGATAATTTTGCTCTAAATCCAGGTAAGTTTAAAAAAATAAATATTTAGCCTGATTTGTTTAAATATAAGTCATACACAACCGGAAAAATATACGTACTGGAATATAGACTTTAATATATAAATACATAATATTTGATAATACATAACTGGAAAAATAATCTGTCAGTGGTCAATGCATTATTTTTGTACCACTGGATAGCCACGTAATGGTGCAGGAAAATTCATTGTATGCATAGCTAAAATTCAAATTTTTGTTGCTTTTTTCCTTGTTTTCTTTTCTTTTTGAGGCAAGGTGATAGTTTGATCATTTGTTCTATCCTAGTTGTTCTGCTGTGAATGCTAGAAATAGAATAAAGCTAGTAAATTGTGTTTTGTAGTGCTATAAATGATCCAAACAGTAGTGAAACAGAGAATAAAACATTCTGTATATTTTATTTTGGATAGTATAGCTTAACTGGAGGAAGGCAACACTTCAAGATTCCAGAGGTGTTTAAGCAAAAAGTTGTTTTAAAGGTGTAACTTGAATCTGGACAAGTTTTTCATGTACCTTGTGTTAAAATACAATGTTTTTTACCTTGACTGTGCTTCTCTGCGTTGTGAAGGGAAAACTCAGTGTTTGGTTTTCCTGTCCCTGGAGCAGATGGGACCTAACAGAGCAAGCAAAGGGGAATTTCTTCTGTTTATCACAGAATCCCAAAGTGGGTCAGGTTGAGTCCAGCCTCCCCCCTCCAGTGGGGTCAGGTTGGAATGCAGAAAATTAAATTTCAGTCTTTGTATTGAAAAGAAATACTTGATTTTTACAGAGTTGCTTTAAGCAATAATTAGAGCAGTAAGAGACTCTCAAAGGTTGGTGTGGTTGAGTTTTGCAAATTGCTGTTAATTGAATTTGAAGCTAAAAGATACTGGGATAAAAACATAATGGTTTAATCGAATTTTGCTGAGCTGTGATTCAATAATGTGAATTGTTGAAAATGCACTTTTTCGGTCTCCCAGACATCCTGTGCAGTGCTAAGAGGCTGAAACTGCTGATGCAGCCCCTGAGCTCCATCCACGTGAGGACAGAGGCTCTGGCCCTGACCAAGCTGGAGGTGTGGTGGTACTTGCTGATGAGACTGGGACCTCACCTGCCCTCCAACTTTGAACAGGTAACACAGGTGCCAAGAATCCTGATCCCTGTGCAGCCCAGGCTCCTCTGAGCTCTGGAAAATGTTCCTGCTTCGTCCCTCTCTGCTTTGTTACTGAAATCAAACTCCCTCAAGGAAACAGTTTGTCCTCGTGTGTGACTTACAGACTGTGTAGAAGGGATATTTGGGACTCACAGCCCCAAAACATTGGAGAGTCTGTGGGAATGTCCTGAGAGCATCTCTGAAAACCTGCCCTGAGTGCAGTCATGGGCTATAAATGTGTTAAATAAAGGCTCTTGTCTCCATTCACCAAGGGAGTGTGGGCTTGGAAAAAGCTGCCATAGGAATACTGGTGACAAGACCATAAATATTTAGGAAGATAGAAAAATGATGCAGGTGTTTCATTTCTAGTCACACTGCAAGTGGAATGGACCTGTTTCTATTCAACACCTGGATTTCCTTAAATTAATCTTCAAGATGGGAGTAAAGGGAGGGGAAGGTATTTTCTTAGGCTTATTAAAATATCCTGCATCCACCAGGAATTTTTGTTTGATTAGACATTTCTAATTCATTCTAAATGCCCAGAAACGCTGCTTTGTGAGCAGCAGCCCAGCCTGTGCTGGTGAGATGAGCTTTTCATGGCTTGCACGTGCTGTAGCTGTTGCTGGGATCCCTTTGCAGGTTTGTGTGCCATTAATCCAAAGCACCCTGAGTGTGGATCCTGCTGCTGCATTCCCAGGAACGCCCTCACGGCCAAACAACCCCAGCCTGGGCTCAGCACCCCCTGGGCAGAAATCAGGTACTGAAACATCCACCTGTGGGAATTTCCAGCTCCATTTCACATGCAGAGACTCCTTCTCTTTGTCATCTTCTTTTTCATTCAAAATCCTTGTTATTCAGAGCAGTGATTTTTCTGCATGGTCACTGCATGATTTGTATTGGGAAAGTGAGGCGGTTGCAGTCATTATTTAAAGTTTAAAAAGTTGTGCCAATCAAAGTTTGAAGATCAGTTTTAATGTCCTGAATTGTGTTCTGTGTTGCAAGGGAGCTCTGGTTTGAAATCTTATTTTTTCATCTGTGAGTGCATGTGCTATTTCTATGTGCCCTTTTATTTCTGTAGCATTTTTAGTTTCTGCCTGAACAGTGGAGAACCTTGGAATGATTTGGGTTGGAAAGGACCTTAAAGCTCATCCAGGGACACCTTCCACTATCCCAGGCCCTGTCCAGCCTGGGCCCTCCCAGGGATGGGCACATCCTCCCAGCCAGGAATTCCTTCCCAATATCCCACCTTACCCTGCCCAGTCATGATGATCCATCAGGAATTTTAATACTTTAACCACATGTGAAAACACATCTATTTGAGCTTTATATCCAAATATCCAGTAAAGAACTCCTGGTTTTTCTTCCCTTTCTGGAAGCCTGGCATCCGTGGTTTGTGCCATCCAGTTGTGCTGTAATCAGGAGCCTCAGGGATCCTGTATTTGGGGAGTTTCCTGTTTTCCCTTCTTAAAAAAATTTCATCTTAATTCTGTGAGATCACAGCTGAGTTGGTCAAAATATTTTGCCAAGACCTCTTAAATTTGTGTTCCAGGTGACAATTTCCAGTAGAAACTGCTTTATAGCAGCAGATTTATACAAGTGTTCCTTGGTTGTGTAACCACAGCTTCCAGGAGATTTGTATGGCCAAAATAAAATTTGGCATTCCAAAATTTACAATTTTGGGACAGATATTTAAAATACTGAGAAAAATATGGCTGTGATAACAAACCCCAGTTATCTGAGAAACCTGCCTGTCAGAGATGCCTTCCAGCCAGCAGCAACCACTCCATGATTTGTCCTTTTTCTGGGGAATTTGGGGCTTTTGCCTGGAATTTCTGTGATTTTCCCCTGATTTCTGTGCCCTCCCTCAGGTCCTTTCCTGTTTGTGAGCCCGGGCACACCCAGGATGGGCCTGAACAGCAGCACAGCAGGAGCACTGCTCTTCCCTTCCATCCAGCTCCTGGGCATGGAAATGCTGCTCCACTTCCTCATGGGACCACAAGTTGTGGATTTTGCTAAGCAAAACAAGCTCGTGCTTAGCTTAGGTATGTGAGTTTTACATCTATATTTAATTGTAAAAAATATACTTGTGTAATCTCAAATCTTGTATGTTAAAATGAAATTATATAAGCTTTTACGTGTTGTCAGCTTTAAGATATTTGTATGTTCAAAATGCTGTGAATACACAAATACTTGATTATTTTTAAGGCTTCTTTTCCCAGTAAACTGCAAAGTTAACAGGTTTATGGAATGTGTTTTTTTGTTCTTGTAGAGCCTCTCCAGTACCCACTGATCAGTAGCCCTTCTTTTTTTTGTAAGCATGCCAGCACTCTGATAAATGCTGTTCAGGATGGCTTTATTGCAATTGGAAAAGAAGTTCCTGGTAAGAATTCAGTGGTGAAATTGCAACATTTTCTGGGAAATCAAGTGGGCAGGGGAAACAGAATCAACACTTTGGGTGAAGTCCTGATGTTACAAAAAGTAGAACTGGTCTGACTTGCATTGAAATTTGAGCTTTGGCTTAAATCAAAATCTGTTCTTTAGCATAATTTGTATTTTAGCTGCAGATTTGTTGAATGTTTTTATTGCAAACTGAATAAAACCATTGTTGCCTTGCAGATTGTTTGCTGAATGTTATCTGGAAGGACATAAATGCATATGTGAAAACAGCAATTGAAGCAGGTAAAAAGGGTAATTTTCTTTAATTTGGCATTGCTCACCAGTCAGAGGTGGTTTATTTTTAAACTAGGCCAGAAATTGTTGATAGTTCACTGCTTGGGTTTAGTATGAATCAATAATTCTGTTTTATTTTAAAGCATTTCAAAAGAAGAACAACCCCTCCTCCAGCCTTCAGTACTGCGGAATGGAGACGAAAATGAAAGTTTTTGACATTTTTCTTCATTGAAATTCTGTTCCATAGGAAACTGTAGAGTCTGCAGATGTATAAAAGTTGATTTCTGTTTTAAAAATGCCCTTCATCCAAGGAAAGTCCAGAATATGCTTAATAATGCAAACTTTTTTATTGAAAAATCAAACAGAACACGAAGAAGCATTCTTTGGATGAATACAAAATTCCACAACTTTAATGTATCAAAATTCCAACTCTTAATGAAACAAAGGTGTTCCCATTTCCTAATTAAACTTGAAGGTTTTTTATTTAAACTTAAAAATTTCATTTCTGTTATGAGCAAAACAGATGCTTGAATCTCTGAAGGATTTGGTAAATTTTTCCAAATTTCCACGTAATTTTTTTGCTTTTTGCACTAAGATTCTGAATGCTGCTCAGAGTGACCATTGTGGTCTGACTGGAAATATTTTTATTGCAGGAAATAAGAAAGAGAAGCAAGGCTCAGAAATACTGACCATGTTACTGCAGGCCTTAAAAAACACCGTGAGATCCAATTCCCTGCCCGTGCAGAAAATCCTGGTAAGTTCTGCTGGAAAAGCATTTTTGGGTGTAGAATTGGGTTCGTGGTTCTCCTGTGCCTCAAAAA